TAATAAAGCAAACAACAAATCAAAAACCAACAGAGAAAAATCCATCTTATGTTGTGCTTTGCTTAAAAAGACATCATCAGAGAGAGGTGTCACAGGGTGCCATTCTTGGCAGCAGAAAAGGGTTGCTGGGAAAGACACACATAAGCAGATTCTCACACACTTTGTTACAACTGTGGGCAGTGCTACTAAACACTATTATGCCTGGGTTTTAATTACATCAAATATGTTCCCCAAAGTATTTTCATATATCTCAATATACAATCATACAGATTACAAGTTGTTTGATGGATTGTTTGAGCACAATTGAGTTATGTTCAGAGTAGCAGAAGGAATGATAATAGAACATTCAGGAATTTGGAAGTATTAGTACTTCTTAAAGCGCTTATAAATTACATATTTAAAAAATATATAGAGTAGCTGGACTCCCTTTCGTCTCTTTGTGAGCTCCCAATGAATAAATAACTGGATATGAATCCATTTCTTCACTTACATCTAATTGTGATTTGAATAAGAATACATGTCCTCCTCTTATCCTATTGTGATGCAACTTCTAAACCAGACTGGAACATCCCATCTCTGAAAACCTTGGTTCCACTGCTTTCCCAACCCAATTGTTATTGTCGCAGGAACACAATATACCGGCAGTATTTTATGGCCCTCATTGTGGGGGGATAAATGATGCAGATAGCAAGAGACCAGAGTTTGAACTTATTGCTCCAGCTCTTGGCTGGTGAAAAAAAAACAAAGAAGTGTTGTGTATAGATCCTATCGAAAGGGAATAATAGGAAAAAAAAAGTGTCTATTGAATTTTGATGAGTTGTTTTTGTCATTAAAGTGCTCAAAAAGGAAAATCAGATTTAAATATTGGATTTTTCTTCAATTATTTATAATATACAATGCACTAGAGGTGGTTTCTATTAATAAGATGTACCTTCCACTCTTGCAGGCTATCTCCTTAAGAGTTTGTAGTAGCATTTTGACCTCAGCTCTCATCAGCTCCTTCACAACAGGGGGGTCAGGTAGTGGGGAGCGTCGGGGACAAGTGAAGGGAGTCTCTGCTCTGCTGTTTTGGTTTCCACCTCGTCTCCCCCACCACAGCTTGTGCCACATCACTGCCTGCAAACATTACCACAGTGAGGCCAATAAGACAATACATAAAATCTATAAATACATATATTTTTTATATTTTAGTATTTTGCCAGTGATGATCTCAATATCCCAGTGAAGTTGCTGAAAACCTTTTCAACATATAAGAAAGGCAGATGAGGATTATCCTCAATGCTTAATGTCTAAAATAATGTAGTTAATGTGAAAAAAACAGTAACATTGCAACCACAACCCTCCATTTGCATTTATCTTATTTCTTGAAACAAACATAAACATGTTATATATTCCATTTGTGCAACTCAAAATGGGACATATCTGCTTTTAATATCTGAAACCCCAAAAAGTATTATTTCACACAATTACTTGATTGTGACAGGTGGCTACGAGGCGTCCACATTTAACAAAAACACATTAGCATGACCGTTTTTGTGTTTTTTCAGTATACTCTACTACATATTTTCTTTACATTGCTTATTTTTTAATAGCACAGACTATTTCCTATGGACAACTTTCACTGTTTTATGGAAACATTGTAATTTGTACTGAGAGAAAATAACTTGCATGAATCTGAGCAACACTAACACAAGCTTTTACACTATACTAGACACAGAATGACACAGGTACACTGTAATGATGACAATAAATGAAATATTTTAGGATATTTGTGGTGGTTTTCAGTGTAAAGAGCCCTGAAATGACATTGGGCTGTAAAAAATAAAACAGAATTGCACTGAACTTAACACCGGCATCAGACAAAAAGCCCTGTGTGATGTAATCGTTTCAGTCTCTGTAATGCGTGTGTGTGTGTGTGTGTGTGTGTGTGTGTGTGTGTGAGCACGTGTGCTTGTGTCTCAGTGGAGTCTGGATACCATTAGCACTTCCACACCTGTTTCTTGCCAGTTATTTCTGCATGCTGCCGTCAAAGACTTCACTTCAAAGGAATACATTGGAGGGCATTAAACATGTCATTTCAGAGCCCGTGTGTGTGTGCACGTGAGTGTGCGCACATTCAATCACACACATAAGCTGTGTTTTGCACACACAAGTCTCAGATTCACATTGACTTCCTCTGTCTCTCTTGATGATGAGGTGTTTTTGTTGCAGGATTCGTGGTTCACTTGCTAGCAAGTCATCTATTTTTGTCTCCATCTTTTGGCAGCAAAGCGTTGATCTCTTTATGAAACTATTTTGGGAATCTTTCTGAAACACATAATTTAAAAATAGTTCCATAAAGTATCATGTTAAATTATTTAAATTACATTTAAGAATATACTTACCTTGAAGAGTCCATTTATAGAAAAGATAGGAGTAAGCTCTGACATTGGTAGGGACATGAAGACATGAAAAGAGTCATGCTTTTTCACAGCAAACCACCTTAGACAATGAGGACTTTGATAAAGAGAGGGAAGGCTTCCTTCAGGAACGAAGAAATTGCCTTCTGATGTAATATCACATTTCCCTCTCACAAGCACCAAAGTCATTACATGGCTGCATAAAAACCCCAGCTCAGATTAAAAAAAGAAAAGACGGAGAAATAAAAAGAACAGACAGTGATTTGTTCCAGAATGAGAGCAATAATAGAAGGAAAACCAGTATGAACTTTAAAAACTTAACTAACGTGTTTTGGACTTTGTTACATTTTATTCTGAAAGTTTGTCAAGACATTCAATCTATTTTCTTTTCTTTGTCTGAATGCTTCACTGTCAGTCAGCACATACACTGAAATAATGGGGGATAAAACTAACATTTGGATAGTAATATTGGTTAGTCCTCCTTCCTCTTGCTTTTGAAATGCACTCTGTTGCTGCATACTTTCAAGTAGATAAACAATTCTTTAAAATTTCCAGACATCTGCCTTAGATTAAGATGTTTTTTTTTTTTATTTAATCCCAACATATGCTATATTCTTTGTTTAGAGCATATTACATTAAACAGTTCACAAAAATTTGAACATATTAAGCACACATTCTAATTCCAAATGGTTTTTGCTAATACTTTATTCAAAATTTGAACCAGACCTTCAAAATATTTCACTTTGACTTTTCTTCAAGGTATTTTATTTCAAATCAACATTTTTAACCAGCCTTGACCTTGAGTGGGCTCATGGTGACCTGTGTTCCTTCACATCTCAAGTTAGGGATTATTATTATTATTATTATTGACTACATGTTTGTCTTGTATAAAGACATGTATAAAGATATTGTGCTTTATAATCAAGTTGAAGTTAAGGTTGCAAGTTCATCTTTAGGTAAATACTGTGACTCACACATTTAGATCACTTTACAAGTCAAAACCAGTTAACCCAGTTCCAGAGTTTACTACATTATTTATTAAATGCAATTTAATAATGAATTCAAAATTAGATTTAAAGACTGAAACTAGAGTCCATAAAATGTATGACTGCTTAGTAAATGTTTATTCACCATGCCTAAAAAGTCATTCTTGTAGATGTGGTAATCTGGTGAAAATTTCGGTGTCTGAATTTTTATAGAAATAAAATATAAGAGCACAAAAACCCATTTAGGTGTTGTATTGAATATAAAGAGAATTGTTCCAGTTTAAATGCTAGATAATCTCATTGCTATGATAGAAGACACGATAGTGTGTGTTGTCTCAATAATTCACCTCAGTGTGCACCTCTGTGTACACGTCTACCAGAGAGTGTCCCAGAGCTGCACGGATCTTCAGCAGCTCTGACTCAGAGACATGTTCAGTGATGAGGCTCCACAGGGACTGCCCAGGACACCACAGCTGGTTTTCTTCTAGTGAATTCATACAAAGGCATTCTAGGCAAATACAACAAAAGTAATTGGATATGACACTTGGAAAACAGAATGCATTAAAATGTGGCTATTATATTATCGACTGCCCTTAGAAATCTTTATTTTATACTTCAAATGTACTATTTTATTTAGACTATACTGTACATTTGTGTGCCAAAATGAAAAAGAAAGTCAGTCAGTCAGTCTGTATATAAAAAAAAAAATATATATATATATATGCATGTATGTATGTATGGATAAAATATCATATAGAGATTTTAAAAAATCAAGCAGATGATAGTCCATCAACCAGATTTATTGTATTATTTCACCAAATTGTCAAAATACTTAGCTTAGCATTAGCAAAAATGATACACTGTAGTTCATACAAAGTTAAATAGCATACAAGACATTTTAGGCTATATTTATTTTGACTTCATTTAAAAATAAAAATAAATTGTATCTTTAGGTTATAGAAACAGACTTAATAAACAAAGTCCATAATGTAAAAGACAAGCTAGAGAGCAGTTAGGCAGAACTAGCTAGCTGTAGTTGACTACCTGTCCTGCGGAAATTAAAGTTAAACTTGTGAAACATTGGACTAAAAAGGAAGCTAACATTAATTTTAAACAAGGATGATAAAACAGGCTAACTGTCCGTGAGAAACACAAAAAAATTTATAGATAAAAAGTTTTTATTTAGTTACTACACGAACTCAAAGTCTCACCCTCTCAAAGTCCCCGGTGTGTGGTGGAGATGGTTTCCAGGGGAAACGTACTGGTTGCTATGGAGACTTATCGCGAGACTTGTCCGAACCCAAATTGAACCAACTTTATTTAAATTTAACTTTTTAAACAACCAAAGTGAATCAGTAAACTCAAGTTCAAATCTGTATGATGGAGATTTTATTATTTTATTTTTGCTTTTGTCTTCCGTTTTGTTTTCTCATTGTTTTACTCTATAAGAAAAAAAAGATAAAAACGTAGTTTTTTTTGTAACAACTCAACATTAACCCATTAAGTGCGCTTCACTGTAATAAATAAGGGGAGGGACTTGCTCCATCAGGCTCCAACTTTTCCTCTTAAACCTCCCAGTTTCCACTTTTCAGGACTTTTTGTTTCATCACAGTGGAGAGAGCACAGATCGTGTATGTGATCATGGATTTAACGATGTGACATAAAAATTTCATAAAATTGTTAAATTTACCAAACCCCGTTGGGCTACAGTTTATTTCCGCAGTGAAGTTTTCATCTTGGACCAGGTCATGGCAGATGTTTTGGCTGTGCGCAAACTTTGCGCGGCCGTGGTTCTGACGCTTCTCCTGTGCGCGCGGACCCTCCGGGGCTTCTCGGTGGCGGGGCAGCAGGACAACACCTGCGAGGACAACGGCAGCATTTACTACGTGGGAGAATGGTATTTCCTGGACTCTGATCACTGCACCCAGTGCGAGTGCACTGCCGAGGGCTCGGTCTGCGCGCGCACAGAGTGCACGTCTCTCCCGGCCGCCTGCATCCACGTGAGCCACTACCCCACAGACTGCTGCCCCAGGTGCGAGAAGATCGGCTGCGAGTACCGCGGGGTGGTGTACGAGCTGGGGCAGGATTTCCAGGTAAGCTTGACAACAACTCCATGGAATCCTAAAATCACTGGAAATGTTTATTTTATTGTATTATTTCATTGGGGTTTCCAGTTTGGATCAATATGTCCTTTAAAATACTTTCTGTTTTGAAACAGATGGGAAATTATCTTTAAAAGCATGTCTTTAAAGCTACTCATTAATTAAAAATCAAACAAACTGTTTATCCTGAACTATATCAAATGATGCGGTTTAAAAGAGTTACAGTCTTCTAGTTTCACACAAATATTAAATGTAATTCTGAAATGCGGGTCCTCACTCAATGTAAACAAAGCTTGGGTCACATGAATCAGCTGGCTGCAGTCTGTGTAGGTGACAGTTACTTTGGCTGTTCTTGTAAATGAACGTTGGCTTTTGGTCACAACCTTTTCTTACAGTTTTTAAATTTAAAAACATCCATCCATCCATTCTTCCATCCATCCATCCATCCTTCTATCCATCCATCATCTTCGTTTTCGGGTAGCGGTGGTACTGGTGTCCATGTCTAGCCATCACTGTGCAAGAGGCGAAGTACACCCTCGACATGTTGCAAGTCCATAAATATAAATAAGAGCAGCAGTTTTGTGTCATACTTTATGTTTTTTGTGTGGTTTTTAATGCCATTGCAGTGAGCAACGCACAACTATACAGTATATTTATATATAACAACAAGTCAGTCACAGTACTACTAAAACAAAAATGTCATACAGGATGAATTTGCTTTTGCTATCCACATTGACTATAAAAGCAAAACTTATAAAAGTGCAGATGTGATAGATGACAACATGCAGTTTAAGTAATTTAATGCCGGTTTAGTCTTTTTTATATTTAAAATCCAAATAAATACACCATTGTCGTGATTAGCCTACACAACACAGTGTCACTAAATCTTCTGTGTGTTTCAACTTAATAAAATGTGCGCAATTTAAACTTTCAGTACATAACAGAAAAATGGAGGTAAATGGCGCCCTCTATTGACAAGATATGAGAAGGAACTGATGGTTAATGCTAATTGTGTTTCTCTTAATTTTTTTTGTTTGTTTGTTTCTGTCAGTAGCGAAGTCCTTCTTGTCCTCATGATTAGAATATAAGCAGCTGTGTGTCACTCTGTCTTTCAGCCATCAGAGTGTGAGCAGTGCACTTGTGACAGTGACGGCATCGCTCGGTGTCTGGTTGCAGACTGTGCCCCTCCACCGTGCGTCACTCCTGTGTACCAACCTGGGAAATGCTGTCCTGAATGCAAGGAGGGTACGCTGAAGAAAACCATTATGGATACAGCTGAGAAAACCTGAACAAAAAGTTCAACTTTTGTTTCTTCTCTGTTGCTGTTTCCCATCCAGGTCCCAACTGTTACGCTGATGAATCCCGCAGTCAGGTGATTCCTGCAGGAGAACCCGTTTGGGTCGACTCCTGCACTAAGTGTCGCTGTCATGACGGCCAGGATGCCGGCTACTGGGAGGGAAACCGCCTCGCCACCTGCTCCCGCCTCAAAAACTGTACGCCCGACTCACCGCTCGTCCTCGAACACTGATATACCACGGGAGCAGCAGTTAGCTTAAAATACATATTCAGCTGTGGCTGACGAGCTGCACGCCACATCCTCTTGCACAGGAATGACACACGGTGACACTTTAATTACAACCTGAAAATAAAAATAAAAAAACAACACTCGATTGGGACCAGAGTCAGACTGGCACATCTGCAACAAAGTCTGCAACGAAATCTAAACTCGTGTAAAGATGAACAGAACTTTATTTTTCAAGTCGTCAGCTTTCATAGAACATATTAAATCAAAGATCTAGTTGTTTTTTTAGCTCAGTATCTGTAAAATTACAGCGGTATAGCCATTTTTGTGTAGGCTGTGGTGGCTATCTTGGCTAATCAGTAGTAGACATGCATTGGACGATTACTTCATGAAAATGAGATGCTTTGCTAAATGTGCAGGTAAATAAACACACAGGCAAAAGAAAAAAAACATTATCGCTGTAACAGTTTGGACAAAAGACACTTAACCATGAAAATGTGACCTCGCTCCACTTCTTCAAAAACACTCATTAGCTGTTGAGTTTTTGACCCAGAGAGTAGAATGCCTTTTAAAAAAAAATTAAGCTTACTGTACTTGCCACCGTACAAGTCGCATCAGTCCAAATATGTGTAATAAAGTGAAAAAAAAAACCATAAGTCGCTTCGCTGTATTAGTCACATCCATTATGTGTCACCGCTGACGCGTTGCGTTTGTTATGCGTCACTGCTAACCACACGGAAATGTGGGCCGGTGTTGTGCCAAAAATCGATTGGCTGCCAAATGGCCAAATATATCAATATATCAAAGACAAACTTTTCCTTAATAAATGCACTTTAATGGTCAAATCAGCTGCGTTTCGTCTAGGCGACGCGGCCAAATGCAGCTGATTTGACGTTTGCTCTAGGAGTTCCGAAGCGAGACGAAGGTGGTTCGTATGGCAAGCTAAATGTCTCATTAATAGCCACTTTTACCTATTAATGCGACACTTGGCTTGCCATGTTAGTCGAGGGCCCTCTAGTGGCTGAAAATGGTAGTGTTCAATATTTTCCATTTCAGAATGAATGAAATTGTCAGATCACAGCCAAAAATTGGGTTATAGATATGGGGAAAAAAATGTATATTAGTCGCTTCGGTGTATAAGTCGCAGGACTTGTAAATTTATGCATAAAGGTGCGACTTATATGGCGAAAAATATGGTAGTTACCCAGGAAGTACCACATAGATTTACTCAACAAAACAAGGTCTATAGGAAGATTTAATATGACTTTAGGATTGTCTCTGGTGGGCGCAGCAGTGTAGACTAGAAGTTGGCCGAGCAGAGCAGTAAACAATTGTGCATCTGTTCTTCTATGCTAACAGAACTCAGAGCACGAGAAGATGGCTGTTGGTGGGCTGTAGATGAAGACATGAGCGATATTTGAATTTTGTGTAATGGGATGTTATTTAGTTATGTGGCTGGGAAACAATTCTCAGCTCAATACTTTATTGATGTTTCACTATCAGGAATGTGTAATATTTCATAGAAGCATCCACTGATATTATGTCTACAGCTTATACATCCTGCAGCTTCAAGTTTACAGGATCAGTGACTGTTTTTCAGAATCAATCTTTATAACTGCATGAAATCTTTTTTTATAGGCTTATAGGCAGCAAATCCTACAGCATTATGATCATCCATTCAACTGTTCAAAACTGTTTAGATTGTATTTTGTCTAACCAAATGATTTCATTTCTAATTTCTGATAAATTTGAAACAAACCAGCTGCGAACTGGTCGTCCACGCCTCATTGCTGCTTTTAATCAGGAAATGGCTTCATCAGAGGATTCAGATTTAATAAATACAGCCGTTAAAAGTAGCTTCACATTTGCAAATCCTCTTTTTGAAGAACGACACTAGAGTTTTTCAGATCTGGTCATATGAGATCAGATTAAATAGACTGTATGAAACAAAAGGGACTCAATAAGGGTGATTTGTTACCAAACTGTGTGTAAGCTTTGAATGTGTGAACTGACGGTAACATGTACCGGTTTGCAAAAACTTTGTGAAAAACACTCCAAATAAAAGTGTTGTTCAGCCCTTTAATTGCTGTGTTTTTGTAAACAACCAAACAAGAAAAACAAAAGATAGCAGTGGTGTTGTGGTTGTAAAGTTGTATCTAAAACATATAAAGAAAGGTTCAAAGTTTTATGTTGGTTGTCATGGTAACAAGAGGTGGAAGACCATATATAAAAATGAATGCATGTTGCTCACTGCTTTGCATGCAAAGGTTTTAAACTCATAACTTGCATGATTTTTTAAATCTGGTTTTGTGTTAGGCTGACTGTTGGCTACTACCACATTGAATTTTAACTCAATATCTGTAAAATTGGCTAAGTTATAGCCTAGGCCTGTCACGATAACAAATTTTGCGGGGCGAAAGTCTAAAAAATTATTGCGATAATTGACAATATTAGAAATGTTGATTTGTTTGTAGGGTAGTACCTCTTTTGACCACCTGATGGCAGTATAAGACTGTTTGAACCAAATGATAGATATTCAAAAATGCAATTCTGGATGGTTAAAACAGATTTTAAAGAGAAAAGAGAAGGGGTCAGTGGGGAGCACCTGAGTTGAGCCTTGTCATCTGGTGTCTTCAGTAGAACGAGAGAGACACGAAGAAACGATAAAGCCGGTAAATGAAAATGAGGTCGATCATTTTCATTTATCATGCGATTAATTGGTTTATTGTTTATCGCGACAGGCCTATCATAGCCTTTTTTGTTTGATAAAATTGCATAGTTGTGGTCATTATCTTGAATGAGGTTGTAGATGTACACGCAATAAATTACTTTGAGAATGACATTACCATCCAAACAGTGATTCTTGAGATATTTGACAAACTACACACACAAACGTTGATTCACCTTAGCCAGCTCATGATGAAAAGGTGAAACCTAACCTTATATATATATATTTTTTTTTTTTTTGCCAATTTGATCACCTCAGTGTCGCGAATGATGACAACGAACACACCATCATACAATCTTTAACATCTGATTTATTAATTGTATAGAAAAAGTAGGTTTGATATGACATAATGCATTCTATATAAGATATAACATTTTCAACATTCAATGTACAAAAGAAAATCCATAAGTACAGTAAAAGTTTTAAAAATACCTGCAGGCCTGACGATCCTGTCGGCAGCAGCAGCAGATGAAGCAAAAAGTGCATCTGAAGATGCGTTTTTAACCACGTTAAACCACCTTGGGTGTGCTCAACAGCAGGAAACTGCTTCCAAGGTTCAACAAGAAACATCAAGCGCTCCTCGCGGCTGTTTGGTTCTCCAGCAGAGGCCACATTTCACATGCATTTGTTTGCTACACATGTCTGTTGCTGATCTTGAGGCCATGTTTTACTATCTGTACACACTGAGGCCATTTCTCTCCAGTTTCATCCATCGGTTGGTTTAAAACTGCAAAATAGTTTCATGTGATGTGTCAGAGTAGCCTTGAAGCTGGCACTGATTTCAAAGAGACACTTCAACTGTTTAATACCGTATTTTTGGACCATAAGGAGCACTTTAAAAATCCTTTAATTTTCTCAAAAATCGACAGTGAACCTTGTGTATTAATTCTAGTTGTGCTTACTGACCTCAAACTGATTTTATGCGGTTATTGTGAATGAGTTGAATAAAGTTTGACTTATCTGTTTTGTTTCGCTTAATGCGCCTTATAATCCGGTGCACCTTATAGTCAGAAAAATACGGTAGTTAAAGTTTGACTTTCCCGACTGAAACAGCAACAAGGTAGCAGCCAATATAAAAGATCTGACACTTAACAAACCCACTCGGGTGAAGTAGTCCAACTTACAGTCAACTTCGAGGTGATGCTCTGTCCAACTATTCTGATAACCATTTGACGAACCTCACGTCAAAGTTGACTGAACTATCCCTTTAAACTGTCGTTCATGCCTTCTTCCTGCTGTCAGCTTTAATTTGAGTGACTTTCTCTAATAAAATTTCAACATACATGGGGTTATATGGCATTTTGATCATTTTCAATTCAAATAAGACACATTTTGTGATGCAGTTATATGGATACATATTTAAACTGCCCATTGCACTTAATCATAATAAAACACTTTACATCACTGCTTCTAAAACCTGACACAAGCTAGTGTCTCGAAACGTTCTGACTCGCGCTGATCCAGCTTCTCTTTAAGCCCACCGTGTCTGAAAGAAAACCACGCCACTGAAGTGCCCCTCCAAAAACCATGAGAATTGTAACCGCTGTACTGTTTTCCACTGAAAGTGTTGCTTTCCAACAGACTGCTTTGCAAACTGAAATAAATCGCCCTTGTAGAAGCGTTCTGACCTTCTGTTCTCAACGCCGAAGCCGAACATGCAGCGGGGATGAGAGCGGATCTGTAATATTGCAGAGCTGTAAACGGTTTGAAGAAGGAAAAAAAAAAACACACACACAGACTACCTTACTCGCCATTGTTGGACACAGAAAAGCACCAGAGGAGCGCTGCCAAAAATAAGAATGAAAATACAGACAAGAGGGAGGTTAGGAAGCGAAACGAGGAGTGGAGAATGAGACGAGAGGGAGAAAAGGCAGTAGGATTCACGTATGGGCATGTGCGCTGACAAGAAGATTGAACAAAATAAAGACACGGAGATTCGAACACACAATGAGAGGCCCTGTCGATATCTGTTGAAAGACGAGGCTCTCTTGTGAGGCACAGCTGTGCCTGAAGTGGGTCCACAACAAAGCACGACAGTGAGCCATTGACACACACAGCCAGGACTGGCAGGGCAAGAAAGGAAAGGCAGTGAAAGAGTAGATAATACATAAAGGAAAAGGTGGACAGAGTGAAAGTATGTGTGTTCATGATAGTGCGTGCTGAAGGAAAAGGAGCAATCAAACCTTCGGCCATGGTTGAGAAAACAAGCCAAACAGCCTGAAACGGTTGCTTTTTTTTTTTCCAAGGCTGACCTACACAGAGACACAGTTTTCACTAAAACAAGTCAAATAATTTAAAGACTCTCAAGCCTCCTTTCTGTTTACCGTGTTAAGACAGGTGGAAATACAGCAACAAGCACTTCCATTTTCTTACACATTTTCTTCAGGAATGACCTTTAAATTAGCACAGTTAACATGTCAAGGCAACAATTTGGGCTGTAACGACATAACACGAAGGCAAAATAAAATACAGAGGAAACAAGAGCATTGTCTTCAAGACAGAGCTGCCCAAGGCTTCAATGTGTTGAGGAACTGATGAGATAATATTCAGTTCCTTTAAGCAAAAAAAAAAAAAAAAAGATCTTTGCAAGTAAATGAATCCAAGTGGCTAATCAGATTTGTGCTGTAATAAAGTAGAATACAGGAATGACGGCTAATGATTAAATAGGAAGATGCAATAAACACCAAGCTTATCTGCCTTATAATGAACACTTTCCTCTTGCAGAAGTGCATCACGTCATTTTCTCCTCGCAGATAATTTCTCAATGATTGAACAGAAAAGATGGAGACAAAAGTGGCGTATTAATTCTATCAGTACAGTTTAAATGGATTGTGGTATTAGATGGTTATGTTGTAGGCTTTAAAAAAAATGACCCAAAGAATTGTTATTTTTCGTTATTTTCTTGCCTGTATAAAAATTTACAAGTCATATTTTCGATTCAAAATGCTTTTTTGGCTGTAAAAGATATTCTGACAGCTCAGTTTTTGGATGTTTCTTTACGTGTGTAAGACAAACGCCCAGTGTTTAACAACTGTCAAGCTAATCTGAACCCTTAAAGAGCGAGTCACCCTATAAAAACTACTTCGACGGAGTAAAAATATTACTGGAAACAGACTCTTCAAGTTGAGCTGTCAGTATACAGATGCTTTCAGATTTCCTTTATATTATAAAATACCCTCCCAAGATGCTTCCGACTGCCTGCGTACAAAGTAAAACTTTTTAAACTATTTATTTTGTTGCAAAAACTTTCAAGTAGTCCATTTCTGTTTTCAAAATGTTAAGTTTGTGTGTGTAAAAAAAAAAAAAAAGTGAGAAAGGAAAAGAGTTTTCTCCGACGTTTCGCCAGCGTGTTCATGAGTCTTCTGCGGTAGAAGCAGGCACGATTCACATTCGTTGATGCGGAGCACAGGAGGAATGAGACCCACGCCGGTAACTCCACGAAGGAAATGCCAGCACGTTTGTTAATGCCATGTCACGATAAGATGCTGTCTCTTGAAAGATAAAAAAAAAAACCACCATCTCTGTGGATCATCACTGCGTTTTCATAGTCAAAGTTTCCTCCCTCCTGCTCTGTAGATGCTCTGATGTTACATGCTGGAAAGGCTTTATAAAAGTTTGTCAAACTGGTTTGCTACTTTTCCCATGCTTGATTTCCCAGATGGCAGCTGCATCATTTTGAAGTGATTTAGCATCTTTGTAAACAGCGCCCCCCACCCAACATAGCATCAACCTGAAATAAAAAGAAACCCATTCTGTGCACTTCGAAACATCTCCGAACTAGCAAAAGTGATAAATCATAATTCGTGTTTTCATCCCTCAGCAACAGTTCCTGTCCTCACGTTGTCAGGCGGCCTCCAGGTTACAAAGATTTGTTCAAAGCAACGACTCCAAGTTTGACGGCGACTTTCTGTGAGCTACTGATGTTTCACCTGTTGGTCCTTGAGTGATTCACCGAGCGGTGCAGTGCAGCAGCGGTGACGGCTGCTCCACGTGGCACAAGCCTGAGCCCAAAAAGAGAGAACTATCAAGCTGGAATCTCAAAAGACCAAACAGAGGAAACGCATCGCCCGTCCCCGGTCGCTCCAGATGTTCCTGCTCCTCTGTCAGTCAGCGTGCACCACCCTCCTCATCGTCACCTTCCTCTCACCTCCCTAGCCTTTGACGGGCCGAGGCGGCGGCTTGCCGATCTCCACGGAGATGTTTGTGTAGAGAGGATACTTCTTTACCTCCAGCAGTTTGTAGGTCAGGGAGCTGATGCCGTCCTTCTTCATCGTGTTCTTCGTATTCTGGATTTTGTTGAATCTACAGGAGGAAAGACGAGAACGAGGGAGGTTAGATATGATTAAAAGCAAGAAGACGGCAGAACAATATACAAACAGAAATGTGTTGCTTCGTTATGCGTGCCTACTTGTTGAAGTTGGATTGACAGTATTGAAATTCATAAAGTGAATGAAATAAAATGTTTGGGTGTCGTTATTGATGAGAAGCTGACATGGAAATCTCATGTAACTCACTTAAGAATAAAAATAGCAAAATCAATTGCATTACTGTATAAAGTAAAATAGTTTTTGTATGACTAAGCTTTGTATATGTTGTATAATGTAATGATTGTTCCATATTTAATCTATTGCATTGAAGTTTGGGGAAAAGCAAAACAATTACAAATCCAACAAATATATTATGTCATCAGTTGAAATTATTAAAATTTTATGATTTGGTTGAATATAGTATTTGTATAAAGCTCATAAAAATATTACCCCAAAATATTCAATTAAAATTTGTTAAATAAAAGAGTCATTATAACCTTAAGATAATAGAAATGTTAGTAAAACGTCTATTTAGAACTGGTCTGAATTCATGGAACAGGATTGTGGAATTGTTTTGATATCACCATAAAAATTTCTAAAACAATTTATATGTTTAAAAAGATGATTAAGTTAAAATTGTTGTGAAGGTATGTTGCCAGGTGAAGGATGCCTAATATTTTTGTTTTCACTTTGGAGATTGTTCAAATGAAGGTTGTTGTTTGTTTGTGGTTATTATTATTTTTATAAGGGGCAGATATTATACGTTTTTTTTCTTCTTTCTGCACACTTTTCATTCAATATTTTTTCTTTTTGATGATTTTTTTTTTTGTTTATTTTAAATGAATAAAAAAATGAAAAAAGTTGCTCAGGATAGTTTGACTGAGCTCATGGTGGTTTAATTTCTAATTTATTTCAAGATTGCTTGAAAAATAATAAGATAACGACTGTCAGCTACTATAAAATTATATTACAGCCATTCATGTGTTTTATATGGTCAGCTGGAGGTGGTGGCCATCTGCAATCCAAAAGTTAGTTGTAGACAAACATGGACGTTTCATTCAAATCCATCCAAGAGATATTGTGCTAACAGACATAACTGCCTCAAAATAGTTTACAGCAAAATGTTAAAGCTCTTGTGCAGTCTGTTAGCACTATGTGTTGGGGATCAGTCTCAGCAGCTAACACAAGTTTTAGGTCAGTTCTTGTAAATCTGACGGAGTGGCAGCCATTTTTGTTTTTATTTTTTAAGGCCAGTGAGCTGTCATTGCCCACTTAATTGTCTTAAAAGCATTCATTCAAATTCCTTTGGTGTAAAGAGCAGAAATCATCTTGACCAAGAGGTGGCGCTGTGACATTACAAGGGAACTCAATCAGCAGCATTTTCCACAGGATATTCTCTAAATCTACGTTAAAACGTCTTCTCCCATTGGCTGCGAGTCAGCAGTTACATCAGAATGTGCCCTTTATTTAACATTAAAGCAGGGAACAGTCCCACAGAGTGTCAGGCAGTTACATGCACTCACACGGCTCTGATGCTGAGCTGCAGTTTAACATATGATGCAACCTTTGGCACTGAATTTGATTCAAAGTGCAAGCTCTAATGACACGCTTGTAGTAGGAACAGTTCCTGCAGCCGGTCGGTGCTGAAACGAGGCCGCGGCGTGCGAATCTTGAACAGCTTGTTTACAACGCCGTTGTTTTAAAATCGCTTCCTTTACAGGAGTCTAATAATAGGAAAAAGTTGATGTGCACTGATCAAACGACAACACTGCAACAAAAGATGTCTTCTTAATGATACGCTTGGATGTGCAAGTGGAGTTGTCACTTCAGTTCGTCACGAACCACCGACTCCACAGATTCCTGTCAGAGCTGACTGGTGAAGACATTTAGTCATTGCTTTTCCTTTTTGTCTCCATCAAATTGAATCAAAAAATAACTTTTACCACCATGAAGGGAGGCTGGGAAAATGTTGTCAGCATCTATCTTTCGAGCGGTATAACACAAGAACATATAAATAGACCGTTGCGACTTCTGTTAAGGATTGGCACCTTTACTCAAAAGAAATAATAAGAAATATGTTTAAGGGAGAATGTGCAAAAAAAAAAAAAAGGAAGCGGGGGCGAAGAACCTGCTGTTTCAGACCCAAATGAGGACTGGATGACAGACAAGAAAAACGAAGGATAGATAGAAATAATATATATTGAAGACAGATGGAGAAGATATTGTGATATTAACACAAAGATCTTTAGATAATTTTATCAAGCATTGCAACCACCCCACATAAATTAATCTCTATATATACAGTGAAGAGCAGATGTATACAGACCCATGTGCATTCTTCACATTTCATTTCAAGGTTGCTGTCTTTTATTTTGTAGAGTTGGAGGGCAAGGCAAAGGCAGTCGTTCTTGTGTACTCATTAGCCTGATTTCCAGAACTTCTAACTGAGCTAAATAAAGATCCATTTTAATGCAGCTGAGAGTCTCACAGGAAAACCGATCTCCTCAAGGATCTTCACAACAGCATGGGAATTATTTTTCTCATGCTCATGTTTTTATAACCTTGAAACAGAAAGAAGTGGTAGCTGTTTGCCGCTGATAATGGCAAACTCATTTGCTTTCTAACAGGCAGAATGCAACAGCTCGTACGCGCCCACCAAGACCCTTCATCACAAATTTGACATAAAAGTCCAGCTCCTCTTGTATTTTTTAAATACAGGACAACTGTTAGTGCTCTTGGTTTTTTTTGTTTTGTTTGTTTCTTAGTTGCTATTTCAAACTAATTTTTGCACGCATTGGCTTCACTTTTCAGACTCAAAGGCCATTTTTAGTCTTTTACACAGTCAGTTTCTAACATACATGTACCATCCAGGACCACTTTGCACAGCTCAAACTAAAAAGTCTGGCTTGGCTGCCATTGTTCATGCAAAAAGCAGCAAATGTTATTGTGCTTGTTTATTTGTAAGTTATTATTTGACATAAAGGTTTAACCACAGCTGGCAGAAATTAGTGAAGATATTTAAGAGTCACTGTAACATAGTGTTGGTGCTGTCACGAACTGTGATGCTGATGATCCAGAGGTGTCATTTGAATCTGTGTGGCGTTCACAGTCATGACCATATATCTGTTCAACCATAAAGTGCATTTGTATAATAGGAAACAGATGTTCTGAAAGTGCAGATGTATTGTGCTTACTGTGTGAATGCTGTTCTAAGTCTAGTTGTAGCCTACTGTAGTTGAACATTGACTCTCTTCCGTTTTATACAAATGTTTAACAGAGCACTGGAGCATATTATGTTTTAACAAATAGTCACTCATGACTGGACATCTGCACAGATGACTCTTGAATATATTTGTTAAATGCTACCAGATGTTTTGTGAAATATTTCCCAAGCAATAAACAACAGCACTAAAATGTACTGGTTGTCTAATGGACATTGGGAGCCAAGCTGGACTCCATCACTCCCTCTATCCATCCATTATCTTTACCCGCTTCCTCATTTTCGGGTCACAGGCATCATTGGCGCTCATACCCAGCAGTCACTGTGTGAGAGGTGGGGGACACACCCTGGACAGTAGGGGTGTAAAATTACATCGATTTAAATTGATAAATCGATTCAATGATTAATGATTCAATTATAACGTGGCAAAACTAAAACATCATATCGTCAACTTTAAAATACGCTTTTATTTTGAAATTCCCAAGGCACGTCTGTGTCACCATTTCCGTGCGCGGCTGCGCTCTGCGGCCGCCTCAGCAACATGGCAGACGAGGCAGAAAACACAGATAATGAAATCCACTCTCCTGCTGGATTTAAATCGACACTGTGGAAATATTTTGGATTCCAACAGAAGGACGGCTCAACAGACAAAACTCATGCCGTATGCAACAGGTGCCAGTTTGAGTTAAAATACTCGGGGAAACAACAAATTTGGTCGCTCACCTGAAGATGAAACACGGCATTGATAGTCATGTTATGTAAGCTCAATATCTATTTTTGTTTCTTTATAACTGAAAGGTAATCAGGACACTTTTACGTTAACTGGTTTAAAAAATGCACTTAAACATGAGAAATGTGAGAATATACTGAACAGGTCATTTATTTTGATTTTTTCATTAATTAAGAAAAAATGTTTTCTTATTTAAATGCCTGGTGCCTGTAATAACAGAAATAAAATGGTTAATTTTTGTAAATTTATTTATATGTAAATGAGATTGGCATTTGATATCGCAATATATTGATCACAGACTTGTGGATCAGAATCAGAATAAGCTTTATTATCATTGCACCGAGATACAACAAGAACATGTACAAATGCCGTCCGAAAGATGGACGAAGTGCACGAAGCTGCTGCTATAAAGTGCGGCCTTCTTATTCAGAATACATTTTTTTAGATAGAAAAAGGGACAAAGCCATGAGGAGAGGGTAGTGGCATTACAAAAAAAGATCTCTTCACACCTTGTCCTTACAGGGCAAGATTTAAGACATCAAAAAACTCTGCCAGCTAAAGCACATTAATGAACACGTACATATGCATTTACAAACGAGGCGGTCCATGAAGCCCTAGAATTGAATCGAATCTAAATCGTATCGTGACAGACTTTGTGATATAGAGAAAAATCGTATCGTCATACAAACAAATCAATATAATATCGTATCACGGTAAAGCTGGTGATCTACACCCCTACTGGACGGGTTGCAAGTCCATCACAGGGCCACATAGAGACAAACGAGACAAACAGCCATTCACTCTCTCACTCACACCTAGGGACAATTTAGAGTTACCAATCAGCCTAACATGCATGTTTTTGGTCTGTGGGAGGAAACTGGAGTACATGGAGGAATCCCACGCATGCACGGAGAGAACATGCAAACACCACATGGAAAGGTCCCCTGACAGTATTCAATCTGGTGACCTGCTCAATGAAAGGTAGCAGCTCTACCAACTGAGCCACCGTGCTGCTGTCCAAGCTGGACTCCTTTTGCCAATTTGT